CTTCTTTCATTTGTATTTGCCAATATCTTGATTTTAGATCAAATGTATAAAAGATTGTAGCTAGAGCTAATCTATCTAACAAATCTTTTTTATTTGGAATTGGATATCTTATCCATTGGAGGACTTTATTTAAAGGTTTGTAATTAATAACTATTCTAGGAATTCTTCGTTCTTTTTCAGCATTTTTATTTACATAGAATGCAGCACAGTTCCAAGGAGATGTACTTGATCTAATTAATTGTTTAGCTAATAATTCTTTTATTTCTATTTGGCATGTTTCTAATAGGGTAGAATTCATTTGAACTGGTCTTGCCTTAGTAGGTATTTTTGTTTCTTCAAATCCTGATTCATAAGGTAATCCAACGACATGTTTTTTCCTATCCCAGAAAGCATTGGGTATCTCACTACATATTTCTTGTTCTATTTGCTTCTTAATATTTTGTATTTGTTCTATTGTTTCTTTCTTTTGCAACTCATCTTCAGTACTTTTATAATTAATTTCTTCTTTTAAAGAGAACAAGAATGATTCTTTATTTTTTCTAGAGGTTTTAACACTATTAATTTCTTTAATTTTAGGTTTATCTATAAATTCAAATATTATTTTATTACCTGCCATGTTGTTTCTATTCCTGTGTAATTAATTATTATGGGATATAATAATGTAAGAAATGAGACTCCTAATATAACTGCTTGACTCGGTCCTTTAACCATAATAAAAAGAGTTGGAAAACAATGTCCATTGTTGCAGACTACAGCAGTAGATAATTTATATTTTATGAATAATCGATTACCATCTGCAGTATTTAATATTTGAGTTGTTTTGTCAAAATATTTTGTAGGGACTAAACCTTCATTAATACAATTCAAATCTGCACCTGAATCTATAAGAGCTAATGATTGGAAATTGTATTCATTCTGAATAATAATTGTGACAAGTACACCATTTTTGAGTTATAATTTCATTAAGTACATTTACAGATCTGTTACTGTCTTTAGGTTTATTATCTAATGAATCTATAACATCTAGAGGATCTATAACATCTAGAGGCTCTATAACTGGATCCAGTAATTGGTCAAATTCAAGTTCATCTGTATTACTTATTTCCTCTTTTTAAGTCTGTAACAGTTGGTTAAGATTTGTACTAAGTTGGTTTGTAAACAGTTAGTTAGTCTGTAACAGTTGGTTAAGATTTGTACTAAGTTGGTTTCGTAAATGATATTATGCAATTTAGAGCAGTTTATAGTGTAAAAATTTATGAAGCTACTTATACTACTTGGATCTTAGTTGATATATCTCCTTTCTCTTTCGTTATGATTTTAATTATTCTCCTATATGTGAAATATTTTAGAATGTAGAAGAATTTATAAACAGAGTAGATCTTGGAGTGTCAATGGTATCAAAGCCAACTCTGTAACACCAACTTCGAAACTCAGTTATTATCTAAAGATTATTAAGTGTAAGTGATAGTACTCTATAAGGTAGAAACACTAATTAAATTTACCATTAGAGAAAGTTGGACTGAGAGTTGAGGCTTAGACACCCAGTCCAAAAAGACCGTTAAGGCCAGGAGAGCCGCTGAGGTCGAAAGAGACATAAGAGGTAGTCCAAAAAGCACTCATCCGCAAGCTAATAATGGCAAATTTTATTAGGAATCTATCAAGTAGAACACTACCACAAGCAAGTAATACTCTAAAGATAAAAAACAAGGAAGAAGTTGTAATAGACAATATAGAAAACAAATATCAAACTGGAATATACCAAAAGTACCTATATCAGATATATATAGGAAAGGAACGTTTGAATTAAAAGTAGGTTATGCTAAAAAGACTGTAGAGCAAACTTTATCAGTAACTAGTAATCAAGAAAATTTTCAGTTATTATCTGATAAAATAATACAATCACATAAGAATAAAAGTTATAATTATCTACATATAGGGTTAATTCAAATAGCTATTAAACCATTAACTAGGTTAGGATTAAATACCTCTATTTTAGCATGCTTAAGAGATACTAGACATAATAGGTTTTCTGATTCCTTATTAGGTATGATAGAATCTAGTTTATGTAGTGGACCTATCTATTTCAACTGTTTTCCAGATTATTCTATATCATTAAGTGATTCAAATATACTAAAGGTATTATCATTAAATCTTAAAACTCAAGGTTTTGATATGCTTCCAGGATCACAAAATATTGCTATAGTATATCGCATATATTATAAAGTAATGAATACTTTATACCTAAATGCTATACAAATAGACACGAAGGGAAAAACTACTTTCTTTCAAACAAACATAAACAAATCTAATGTAATAATTCCAAAAACCATACAATGGTCAGATATTGTATTACCAGAATCATGGAATATACAAAATGAAAACCAACATTTAAAGGCACCCATTCATAATATTCCTGATAAAATTTTTGAACATACTGATGGGAGAATAGAAATACAATTTCCAAATCAAATTATCAGACATACTAGGGATGATGCTAGTATCAATCTAAACCCTAAAACTATTGAATCATTCAGGAACTCTACTTCAAGTAGTATGCATCCGAGAATACAAAGTCTATTACGAACCAGAGATAATATAGTTATCCCTCAATACCAATCCACAGTAAAAACTGAACCTGATCTATCAGATACCGAAATGGATTTCCATGTTTTAACTCTTACTATTCCAGAAAGAGTAACAAAACAATGGATAGAACAGAATTATGTCTCAGACGAAAATAAAGACATAAAAAATTGGTAATTGAAAAAATTTGAACCTAGATTAATAGAATTATTTCATAAAAAATAAAATAAAATATATAAATCTAAAACTTGCACTATAGGATTTTTTACTTAGTTAAGAAATATCTTAAAAGAAAAAAATGTTAAAGTTCCTAATTTTGAAATAAATAAAATAGAAAAGCAGTATACTACCTATAATACCATATAAGGCACTAGTATTACTAATGTTCATCCTCCAGGACGAAGTATTATCATAAAAGGAACAAATAAAGAAGGAAAAAGCTCTCTTGTGTCAGAAACAATAGCTACTCCCTATAAAATGACTACTAGAGAAATAGTTCATAGAACATAATTAATTCCCCATATTATAGAACAAAATAATTATACTAATTTATTTATGCAATCAATAGGAAAACAAACTTTAATAATAGAAAATATGATTAAACCAAACCCTATTCAAGAATCGAAAAAAACCTTATTCTTCAAACCACCTCCTGAGCTAAATAAAGAAAAATTTCACATGGGAGAAACTCCCCCTTCAAATTTAATCATAATATATAATTTTGATGTAAAATTTTCTTGAGATTATCTCAAAATCTAATTTTATATCTAATTATAAAATTTTAAATTTAAAAATAGTTAAAATCAAGTAAATCTATAAACATATGAAAATCTTGAAAATGGACAGTGTAGATAATATGTTGTAAGATGCACTATTTCTGAGACTTTAAATCTTTTT